ACCAACCAACTCCCCGGAGTTGGGGCAGGAGCAGCTGAGCAATGGGCCCAACGAGGGCCCCCATCTAAGGCTCGGCGCACTCCCCACACCCCTATCTATGGCTGTAGAGGGTGTAGAGGGTTGGCCCTAGAAGGTCAGCTCATGAGATCAGGACCTGCTACCGTATCCCACAGAAGGGTGTGGTGCTCCGAATGATCAGATGGCCTCGAGCCATAGTCTAGACGCTCTTGATCACCTGACCCACAGCAGGCTCCGATCAAAAAGGAGGGCGCCTCCGGGCTTAAGATCAGCAACTCCCAGACGAGTTCACCAAGCCCTCGCTTGAGTCGAAGACCTATACAACATAGACTCACGAAGGGATGAGCACCACCATCGCTCGGCCCCGATAGCCGAGCAACGCCCATCACATTGGAGAAGAAGGCCCCAAGCAGGGCACAACACCCTTGTCAGCGGAAGCTATCCTCGCTAAGGAGGGTTCGGTCACTAAAAGATCAAATTTAGGCCTTTGTCGCAATCACATCGAGTGAGGCCATGAAGGGCTCGGGGGCTCCAGAGGGAACTACTAGACCCGAGGCTTAACCGGTCTAGTTCCCAAACGAAGAAGACCCCCTGACCGACCCCTCCAAGATCGCCCGGGGACTAGACCCATCGGGTACGCTCGCACACACCCTCTGGAGAAGAAACCATGCCGAGCCTGACTATGACGCAACCTCTGCTTGGGGCTCAGGGGCTCGCCCGAGCCCCTAGGCTCCCAATCTACGATGACACTTTGGCCCGGTCCTTGGCTCCTGCCCCGCCAACAACGCCAGCCAAGGCCCGGGCATAAGAAGACACACCCCTAGCTACCGAGGCTCGGGGGCTCCCCGGTGCTGCCCCTTGGGCACGGCATTGCTGGCCACTTTCGATAAGGTCACACACGAGGCAGGACACAAGAAGACAAAGCTTAACCACAGCCTACAGGGGCTTGGAGGCCCCCGGCCCGTGCGTCAACCCCTGAATCCGACCTCCTTCACCGGCAAGAAGACTCTAGAAGGTCCACCTAGGGGAGGCCGGTCCAAGCCGACGTAGCCTGACATGTAGAGTGTCAGAACAGAGCAGTCGGATGCCGCCCAAGCCTTCTTTGGCTCCATGACACCGCCATGGTCCACACCGCATCGCTGCAAGGCCCTCTTGGACTCCGGCGCATGTAGACCATAGACTAGTTCCCCCAAACCGCCATGTACCCAACCTATCTCGTTATATAAGGGATAAGGTCAGAGCAAGGAGGTAAAAAACGACTAACGATGAATCAGAAGAAGATAGATCATTCCATTCCTTGGCCTCGACTTAGCATTGAGAGCAAGGCAACCCACCGAGGGGCACCGAGAGCTCCTCCACCACATTCCGTCGTCTTCCTCCTCTTCAACGAGGGGAAAGCACCACCGGTGGCAAGGCAACCTTAGGATTAGCACTGAGCTAACCCCCTACCAAATCTCTCTCCACAACCCGTTTTAACCCCCTGATTTTGGGTGCTTTTGAGTATAAGGATCATCAGCTGCTAGACGTAGGGCACCGATTGGCCCGAACCAGGATAAACCATTGCGCTCTCTCTGTGATTCTTGTGTTCTTGAGTCCACCCAAGCCACCGAAGACCCATACTCTGACACCGACTCGAACAACAATGCTTGCCATGGTTCTGACCCCCACACCGAGTGTGTTTCTTCCCTTCACTATCCGTGGAAGTCATACTGCCGGTCCTGACATAAAACCAATACTGCATTCAGTCCTTATTCCACTTATTCTTCTGGGCATAAGAAATCTCCAGCCTCTCGCCCTTCTGCTGCCTCCTAGGCATGAAAGCACAACTTCCATACTGAGCCAAAAGCTGGTCTTCGCCGACTCTCTTAGGCTGTCGTTGGAGCTCGTAATACTCACATAAGGTACCAATATGTGGCTCCACAACATAAGACAGGCAGGCCCAACAAAATTTGCTTAAAGTAAGAATATCGTTGGGGGTAAGATGATGCAACTGTACCTCAAAAGCTTCAAAGACATGGTAGAAAAACCGTGCTGCAGGGAAGTGAAGACCACAAGCAAAGACGTCATGATGCTAGCAGGCCACTAATGGGCCTGCGGCTAGAGCCCACGAAGTAGAGGCGGTGGAGACAGAAGAGACCGAAACTACCCCCGATAGTTTAAGCTTGCACTAGGATATTCTTGGGAATATGCCATAGCTGTCAATGGGTAAATATGTAAAGGGATACCCCAGTGAATGATGTCCTATAAAAGGGGAGTTAGACCCCATGTAAGTTGGTTGGTGAATGCATTTATTTAACCTAGATTGGGCCTGAGCCCACTTGCTTCATCTCCTTCACTCTGAGCCTCCGTTCGAGCGAAGGCCCCATTCACTTACCCAGCTGGAAACCTACGTTTTCAACAGGTGCCCACAACAATCATGTTATTCCTTAACATTTGGGACCCTGATCGAGAAACATGAAAACATGCATGCATATCGCCGTCTTGTGCAGCATTCAAGTCAGAGACAGCCCATGTCTAAGGTAACACATTATTAGCTGGGTACCAAGGACGACGTACAGCAAGTAGTAGCGCAAAAGTTTCAATTTTTGTTACGATCACTTGATAACATGCTCTGGGTTTGCAAGACTTTCAACGTTTTACCCAACGACAGCTTCGTGCTATTGCACTGTTTTGAGTGATGTACTGGGTACTGACCCCGTAAGTAGTGCAAGTAATTAGACTACGTGCTATGTTTGCATGCCATGTCTGTCGCCACTAGTCAATAATGACCTTGAGACCTCTAGAATGATGTCGTTGAAGTCGGTTTAACTAATGTGTGTCCGTGGCAAGGACCAGGGTTATTAACTGGCATAATATCATTTACTGTAACAAACACTATATATCTTGATCCCAGTTTCTAGTAAAAATAAAAACCATAGAACCTCATCACCCTTACTAGAGGTCCAGTAAAAGATACCATTTGGAACTTTCGGACAGAGCATCTAACTTTCACCTTTCCCTCCAAATTAAAGCACACCAATTGCATGCATGTGGTTGCAGTGCCTTGTGCTACCTGTTTAAGTACCTTGACCAATACGATCGACCCTTCATCGAAAAGGTCCTAATGGTCCTTCTCCTTCAGACGTGGCATGATTACTCGGCTTGGAGCCTCGTTGGCACACATGTATGTGCAATGAGAAGCCATTATGCCCTAAACCCCACAGGGAGAAGGACAAGTGCCCCGAAAGCCCTCATTTAAACCCTTCTTTTTCATCACTTTTTTTTTTGCATCATCAGATATAGTTTGGTCACCTAATAAAAGCCCAATTCTTTCCTTTGCAGAGTAGGTTTGCCAACAAGTAAGTGCATGCCAACATACCATGTGCAGAAACCTTCCCTTTGCTTCGTCCCTTTATGATCACCAAAGGCAAAGAATCTATTTTTTTTTCTTGGGGCAATTTGTACTACGGTAACTGCAGCACACGCAACCACTGAAAAACTTACAAACAACTTCTGTACAAAAAGGATTACTTAAATACTGCATATGGACTGGAGAAATTTCTCGCTATATCACTCAACCACTAAAAACCTACAAACAACATTACTGTGTACAGATCAGAGGTGCTTAAAAACATCTCAAGGACTCGGCTAAGTTTTACTATTTGCAAATGTATGTATATAACGAAAATTCTTGAAGCAACCACTACATACAAAGTCTCATTTCCTAGGTTAAAGAGAAGGGGGAATTTTCAGTGCTTACCACTCATTCATATGCCAAGCTGAAAAACAACACTTAGTTTAGTGCATACAATTCATCATTTTGTTTTATCACCATGTACAATTCCTATGCCACCACCTTTTTTTCTAAAAAAAAAAGTCCCACTTTGGACTCTTTTGGCTCTCTTCTCCATGCTTTGCTCTCTTTCCTTCTTCATAAAATACTCCATCTGTCTAAAAAAGAATGACATTGTAGCATTCATAATTTGTTGGACAAAAAAAATTGTCATTTCAGCATTACACCATTACGGTGGCCCCAACTCTTTAGTTTACCTTCAAATTATGCTACAGGTGGATACTAATTATGGTGCATCGTGCCAACTAATTGAATGGCATCTCCTTAATTATATGCATGCACCGGTTAATATCTGGGAGATGGGTAAGCCTTAGGAATGGCAACTACTGACAGTAACAGATAGGGCACCCAAGTCATTTTTCTGGTCTCAGCTACTCCATCAATTCTAAATTATAAGACGTTAAAATATTTCATAATTTATAATAAATTTAGCGTCTTATAATTTAGAACAAAAAGAATGATACTATAGTTGCCAAAGTGATTGGCACAAGAGAGAAGTAAAAACTAACACACTCCGGCCGATTCGGTAAGGGCCGACAAGACCTCCATATAATATGCATACATGGCAAAACAAAAAGGAAAAAACAATAGCCCATAGCTCCATCCATGTGATTCTTGTATAAAAAAAACCATGGCAGTACTCTCTACTCTCCCATGCATGCATTCTTCTCCATCCGTTTCCCCATGCTCTGCTCTGCCCCTGCTGCGCTTGCGCTTGACTCCACCACCGCCCTCTCTGTCAGCACTTCCACTCTCCATGTGCCCCAATCACTGCATCTGCTGCCTCCACCTCCACCACCACCTCCATTTCGTCCCCAGCCTCATAAAACCCACCTCTATCTCAAGTCTCCATTCCTTTAAAGGCTTTACACCTGCTCCGTTCCATTCCAATTTCCAACACCAACACACACCTTTCAAGCTTCACCGTACCGGCCTAGCCTATAAAGCTCCATTTATTTCGTCGTCCCTCAGATCTCCTCATCTCTCTCTCTCTCTCTCGCGTCACTAAAGAAAAGAAGACAGAAATCCGGCAGCAGTGCTCATGTGTTCCATATTTCCTTCGCATTCAGTCATCGGGGTATCGTCGCAGGCGCAAGGCGGCGGCGGCGGCGGCAGTGGGTATCAGAGCCCTGAGAGCAGAGCCAGCAGCATGAGCAGCGGCGGCAGCTCTCTGCCCTCCCCTTCTGCAGCACCTGCCTGCTCCAGATCATGGTGTCATTCTATTCTGAGACCAAAATCATTTCGCATTCCATCTATATATATATATATATATATATATATATATATATATATATAGGCCTATTTGCTCTAATCATCGCCTAAGTAAAGTAGTATGATCGATCACCTAGATAGCTAGCTAGCTAGCTAGGTGAGGATGAAGAAATCAATGTTTAATTACGGTGTTCATTCGATCACTTGGTGGTGGTCAAATGAAGTAGCCTGATGATGTGCATGCTATGCAATTAGGTCTATAAGCGAGGATTCGTTGCGGAGGTACGTGAGCTACGCGAGCGAGAGCTGCATCCAGGAGCTGCTGGCGGCGTCCGACTCTGGCCGCGGGGGCGCCGACGGTGACGGCGACGGCGACGACGGGTGGAAGGTGCTGGTGTACCACAACGGCGTGGAGATATCCAAGCGGCGGACGGGGCCTGCGCACGTCTTCCGGAGCCGCTGGCTGCTGCAGGACGTCTCGCCGGAGCAGTTCATGGCCGTCGCCAACGCCGTCGACGCCGCCAAGGTACCATACCATACCATCCTGCGTATATATTAATTACTCTACGAGTAGTATTATAAAGGGTTTGAGGAAAGTGATTATTCTAAGATTTCTTTTTCATTTCCATTTCAAGTAGCTAGGAGTAACTTCTTACTTACTTTAGGTCAAAAAGTTGATAAAGTGATCATTAACACAACGGAAGGTTTCCGCAAATGGAAGACTTTGGGTTCCATCCATATCTGCTGCGATGGGCCGTGCTTGTGGTTGTGGTTAATTAAAAGCTAGCGACCTGCTTTGGGTAGTAACTTTGGTCGATCTAGGACTAGCACTCTATGTCCATGTGACTTGGCTAATCAAAACCGCCTTTCGTTGAATGCAATGCGAGCACTATTTGCTTCATCCGAGTAGGAGTAATATACAAACGTACCCAAAGTCCCAAAGCCAAGTTTGTCCTTAGTTAAACATATTTAGTTTTGATCATACTTAGAAGAGCTTACTAGGACGCAATGTCCATGTCCCTAGTTGTCTAAATTTTAGGGTCGTCAGCAGCTTACTAGGACGCAAGGAAAAAAATTAAACAGAACAAAAAAAAAGTACTAGCATTTTTGGTGGTAATCAAAAGCTGGCGCCTGGCGGTGCCGCCGGTGAATGAAATACGGTGGTAGCTAGTAGATCAGACGGCAGTAAGTGATTGTGGCTCGTGACTCTTGCCGGTAAATAAATAAAATTAAATTAAAACGCATGCACTGTGGCGTGGTGGTAAAATTGAAAAAAATTGGAATCTTCAGGCGGGCACCGTCCATCCATCGGTGACCCGGAACTACTCTTACCAATCACCTTGCGACAGCTCTCTTATTACCTAGCGCCCAAAAAAAAAATTGGTTCCGTCCATCGGTCAGTTGTAACAAGAGTTTTGCGAGTGCCCTTTTGAGCTTTATTTAGTTATGGACACTCAGAATATTGTTGGAAACGAGCTTTATGGTGAAGAAACGGCGTTTAGGGTTACGGATTGAAAATTTCTTGTCCACAAAATTTGCAATAACAAATACATACGTACAGTACATGGTAGGGATTGTTTCTCAATGTTTTCTTGAGGACGTGGAGCAGGGTCACTCCAAACACAAGGCTAAAAGAAGAAAAAACAGTTAAAAACCGGCGCAATGACATGCTCAGCATCTGACACGTGTCCCTAGGGTAGTCGGGTCCCAAACGGGTACTCCTACTTGGTAATAACTGTGTTTCGGAGTAGATGCATGAATTATTATACAAGTAGCCGACCGTAGATGCGTGCCCTGATGCAGGCGTGCATGTGACTGCACGTTGAGCCACATGCATGTGCTCTCTGCATTGCGCGCGTCGGCCCGCCACCCCGAAAGCTCAAACATAACGAAACTTGACACGGTGGTTTAGTTACGATTAAGACATCAAAGTACTTCTTTGACCAAGCTTATTACTTCTTTGTAATGTGGACGACCGGCCGGTTGACTTTGAATACCTAGATACTAAGTAAGTACTCCCTCTGTTCCAATTTTTCAATTTATAAGTCTTTTTTATATTTCTACATACAAAACTTTTATTATATATCTAGATATATTTTATATCGAGGTGCATAACAAAGAATTATTTATTTAGAAAAGCCGAAACGACCTATAGCTTTGGATAGACGGTGGTATTATCCTTGGATCACTGTTAGTAGTACTCTGTTTTCCAAGTTTGAACCATGGTGAGCTCACTCTAACTTCTCACGTTTTAAATAAATAGATAGTGAACTCGGATGTTAGATACTCCGTAGAATTTAGTGGAACTAATTTGTATAAAGTTTGACCACACTATAAGTTTGACTTAATTAAAACAATGCTAAATTAAACTATAATTTAAAAAGTGGTAATAACAGGAAATGCATGTCACCTGCTGACAAAAGGAGGAGCACCGGCTGTGTAGTGGTCTCTTTTGTTCTGCGACTTAGCTTTGCTTACATATATGATCTTTGCCCACCACTCGGACTCGGTATATCTTCATTCATATATGTAACAAGAGCGCACTGCTAATTAATTTCTGCACGTGTATATATATATATACACACACACACACACACAGCTGGGAGCTAACTAATCATTTCAGTACTGATGAATGCCAGGTCACACTAGACCTGACACCACAGCATACTTACAAGATACTAATAACGTGCGTGTGGCAGGGGAACGACCGAATGAGTACACTTGGACTCGCAACGTTTTGTGTAGTAGAAACTTTTTGCTTGCCACCTGGGAAATGAGTGTACATATTGCTGGCACGTAGTACTAGCCACCAAGGCTGGGCCGGTCTCGATCTGGCGCGAGGGCCTCTTACCACTTTTGGGGCCAGTACCTAATAACAGGCCATATGCTCTGTCGCATTACCCGTCTCTAGGTAGGATAATTAGGTTAGTCTCTGCAAAAGTTTCATGGCTCTACTTCCGAGACTCTCTGGTATTGGAAATAGTGTAAACAAGTTTTAACCCCATAAAACTTATTTCATCTGATGAAACTACTTTCATCTCTCATTTAATGTGTATAAAACTCCCATTTAGACGAATCTTAGCTGGCAGATCGCTATGTTAGGAACGCTACCTAGTCACAAACTGTAATAGCTGTCGGTCGCTAAGTCCTAAACTATTGTGTGAGTCGTTTATATATGGGAAAAAATTCCGTGCATACATTATCCACCGACACCCGTGCATACCACCGCTAGATGGAGGACGCGTGAATGTCGTACGTTTGCAAGCGCCCGAGGGACTCGTAGCGCCGACATCCTCATGAGTGCGCGCAATTTTTTCCCTATATGTAGGCTCATGTAATAATGTGTAAGTAGCAGGTACTCCTTAAAAAAGAGTTATTTTCGCTTCCTACAAAGTCAACAATTTTTAACTTTAACCGAATATATTTAACAAAATATTAATATTTATGGTACATAATTAGTATCATTAGGTAGATCTTTGAATATATTTTTATAATAAATTTATTTACAGATATAAATATTAATTGCATTTTTTAAATATAGTTAAAGTTGAGAAAGTTTGACCAACACGATTCTAGCGACTTCTTTTTAGGGAGCGAGGGAGTAGACAAGCAGCTAGGCTTTTGTAGTAGCTGTGCCTGCGTTCGTGGTTTCGTGGGCCAAAAAAAAAAAAGCCTACCCACTCGAAAGTGCATTCGATAGGCTTGGACTCTTATTTTCATCCCTCAACCGTATCGCGCCAGAGGGCCATATTACTTTTTACCGAGACTCACCCAACTTGAAATACCTTGTTTACAATAGTAACATGCCCGCGTTTTTGTGTGTGTGTGTGTGCAAGTGCAGCAGTGGGAGTCGGACCAGCTGGTGGAGTCTTCGTACATCAGGGAACTCGGCGACGACCTGAGCATCATCCACCTCAAGTTCGGCGACGCCTCCTCCTCCACCACCACCAGCCGGCGTCCCGCCAGGCCCGCCCGGCGCCGGGACCTGGTCGTCTACGAGCGGCGCCAGGCCATGGACGACGGCACGCTGGTGGTCGCGGTGGCCGCGCTGCCCAAGGAGATCGCCGCGGGCCTGCTGCCGCCGCCCGCGCCCAAGGGCGGCAGCGGCGGAGGCTCCGCCGTCGTCGGCCGCAGCCTGCTGCTGCAGTCCGGCTGGGTCGTCGAGAGGCTCGACGGCGACGCCGGATCGTGCGTCGTGACGTACGTCGTGCAGCTCGACCCGGCCGCTGGCTGGCTGCCGCGCTGCATCGTCAGCCGCCTCAACAGCAAGCTCGTCATGGTCATCGCCAAGCTCAGGAGGATCGCGCAGGCCACCGTGCCTGCCGCCGCCGCCGAGGTGTGACGTGGCTGCCACAGAGCGCCATCAGTCAGCTGCTACACGCGTAGTTGCATTGTGTGTGCTTAAGTAAATAGATATATACGTACTATGTTATTTTTGTAGAAACGCAGTGCACTCGTCGATCGGGGATGTACGTATGGTACTGCTCTCAGACTATGTCAGTGAGAATTACTATGTCTGCACGTTTCAGTATTATAGAATAGAATTACTATGTGTGTACGGTCAATCGGGGATTTTTTTAGATAAAGAATATAAAATCTGACTTCTATATCCACGCAAGATATATGTAACCAAAAGGAACACGAGCTCTTAGACTCAAAACCGCAAACCCGAGGAACATAAAAAAAAACCAAGAAAGAGATCGAGTTCACGAAAACCAAGAAAGAGAGTTCACGGACCAAGAAAAAACTAGAAACACCTGGACCGCTACTAAGGTCTTGTTTAGTCTCCTAATATTTAGTCCCTCATCTATCGAATGTTTGACATATGCATGAAGTATTAAATATAAACTAAAAAAATAACTAATTATACAGTTTGTGACTAATTTATGAGACGAATCTTTTAAGTCTAATTAGTCCATGATTTGATAATATGATGTTATAGTAACACATGTGGCAGTGACGGATTAATTAAGCTTAATAAATTCGTTTTACGGATTACTAACGGATTCTGTAATTTATTTTTTATTAGTATCCGAACAATCCATACGACACCCCATGTGACACCCAATGTGACACCCCAAACTTTACCCTGCTTTAAACAAGCCTAACACGCAAAACAAAAAAAACTTTTGCCGCCATGCCTACAGAGCCCACCACTGTTGAAGTCACCATGCGACGTATATGCGCTACCACTGAGCAGATCCAAGGACATATAGCCACGGATATGGCTGCCCCAAGAGTGGGTCCATCACTAGACAAATAGGTCGTCGTCATCGTGTGAGCCATGGCCACCGCGCTGCCACCATAGATGCACATCTAGGCTCAAGCCACGACGTTTACACTGCGTTGGCGGGTGAGTGCCAAGGACGTTGCCGCTCACCCGAGCCCTTGCCAGAGCCTGCCGAAGGACGCATCGGGATCTCCATGACACCACCTGGCCATCGTCTGCCGCTGCTACAGGCGCAAAAACAACTGAACCAGTAGCACACCAGATCCGTCGATCCCAGACGTGCATCCGGCTCACCACGCCGCCAGCACGTATCACAGCCACCGGGATCTGTCAACCGCCCATGCAGCACACCCCCACAACCAATGTCTTCACCTAGCGCCACACCGCAATGCTGGAACAAGCCATGGGGGTTGGGGGAGTGAACGGATCCACAAGCCTAAGCACCGGATCTGGCCATGGAAGTACCAAATTCGTGCTAAGCCGATGCGTGACAGGTGATTAGAACTCTGAGGGTGGAGGGAGAAAACGAAGTAGAGAGGAGGTAGGAGATGCCCCGCCACCACCTTCCTCACGGACACCGAGGTTCCAGCCGCACGCTCTGGCGACGACTAAGGCGGAGAAGAACGGGGACGCTGGCCTGAGTGGCGCGGCGGTGTTGCCCAAAGAGGACAACCTAGGGGCCCGCGAGACAAAAATATATGCCTATACTTATTGAAATTCAATCTTTTTTTACTTCTCCAAATGACCTCGGCTAGAGAAATGATCAGTACCAAAATTATATATCTCAAAATGATCTAAAACATTGCAGTTGATAACTTTTACATTTGAAATATCTTTGATCCCAAATTCAATTTGAATTTCTCATATTTTGAAAGTTAAAATTTTCAAACAACCCCAGATATAGAAACAACAAATGAAGACAGGCCATGGATGACTCTGGTGTACTCCCTCCGTCCCAATACAAGTGCACACATCGCATCCCGAGGAGTCAACTAATATTAAATTTGACAAAATATATATAAAAATAATAATGTTTATGATCCTAAATAAGCATCATAGGTTAATTACATTATATATTTTTATGGTACAAACCTATTCAGATATAAATGTTGATATTATTTTCTATAAATTTAATCAAATTTAAAATTAACTTGCAACTAGACTCTTCGATGGTCACCATCTCTCCTAGCTAGTTCTGAATGCCCAGTGTCCACCCTGTGCCTGACGCACATGACACACCGAGCAGCCTGAATTATATACTCAGTCCGCCTAAAATAAATGTCTTCTTGAGTTTTGTGCCGATTAAACTTTCTTAAATTTAACTAGATTTATAGAGAATATTAGTATTATTTTTTATCTTCAAATAAGTTTATTATAAAAATATATTTAATAATTAATCTAATGATATTTATTTTGCACCATAAATATTAATGACTTTTTAATATATTTAGACAAATTTAATATCATTTGGCTTCTAGATAAGTGAGAATGACACCGAACGAATTGGAAGATGCAATGGGAGCAGAAACTGAAAAGTCGTGAACCGGACTGACGCATCTAGGGGTTGTTTGCTTCACTCCCTCCCAGGCAAGCTGCCCGCCATGCAGCAATCCTAGTTCTAGGCGCAGGAAATCGGATGCCTGGGAGCAGTGCGTCGCCAGGCAAGCTTGCCAGCTTGGAGACAAAGCAAACATGCCCCTAATGCCACTACCTGTTGACCATGAGATACATACAGTAACCGATGAAACTTTGCAACAATCTAGTGGATGAATCTCTGGAGCATCTACTCTTTCACTGTCCTTTTGCTTCGGAGTGCTGGCACTGGCTAAGCTTTGAGATCCCGCATTAGTCTAACTTATACCAGAACTTAGAAAGTTTCAAAATGCAGGAAAGGACCCCATTCTTCATGGAGATTTTCATCTTAATGTGAAGGTTAGGAATGGCTTAATATTTAAGCAAATTCAGCCGTCCTTGGAAGATGCAAAAAGAACGTTCAAGACAGAATTTGTACTGCTCCTCTGGCGTGCAAAGAGAAGATACTTTCCTTTAATTGAGCAATGGTAAAACAATCTTGTTTAATCTTCCTAGTTTCCCTACTTTTTTTCTTTCTTTCTTTGTCTCTTGAATCCTCCTCCTGTAATTAAGCTCCTGTTTTAAACTCATGTTTTAATAAACCTCACAGTAGGGGTGCGTCCCTCCTGTTTTGCCTAAAAACACTTGAACTCGATGAGTTAAAAGTCCGTCTGGAAGTTAGTGTTGAATATAGGTGATGTGACACCATGAGGAGCTAGAAAAATCTTAAATGTTGAATATAGGTGACGTGCACTATCGGAATCCTCTAATTTACCGAGTGTTTTTATGTTTACCGAGTGTATTCTCTCGGGCATTCGACGAACAAGTTCTTTGTCGAGTGCCGCGCTAAAAACACTTGGCAAACAGGACGTTTTGCCGAGTGTCAAAACAAAAACACTCGGCAAAGAGGTTGTTTGCCGAGTGTAAAAAAAATACACTCGACAAACAAAAATAAAATCTTTTTTCTCAAAAAAAAGGAGAAGAAAAAAAATGAAAAAAAACTTTGCCGAGTGCTTATATCTAAAACACTCGGCAAAAAAAGTAGGAGAAAAAAATAAAAAAAACCTTTGCCGAGTGCCCCATCTGAGACACTCGGCAAACAACAAAAATATCTACTTCTAACCGCGTCCAGCACCCCACCCGCTGAAAGGTCCTAATGGGTAGAGGGGGGTGAATAGCCTAATAAAATTTCTACAACAACACTTAAGAAAAGGATTAGACAATTATAAGGCGAAGCGAGTTATGCGCTGGCCTACCAAAATACAAGCCACCTACCACAATTCTAGTTTAGATGAAGTATATCCACACAATAGCTATATCACTACATTAAGTTAGTGTGCTCTCAAAAGCTAACTAAAGAGCCACACTAACCAAACTAACAATCTCTCACAACTAGTTACACTAAAGAGCTTGACAACTAGTTTGCGGTAATGTAATGAGTAGGCAAGAATGTTATACCGCCGTGTAGATGTATGAACCAATCAATCACAAGTGTGGATAACAATGAAGACCAATCATCTCGAAATCAATGATGAACACAATGATTTTTTACCAAGGTTCACTTGCTTGCCGGCAAGCTAGTCCTCGTTGTGGCGATTCACTCACTTGAAGGTTCACGCGCTAATTGGCTTCACACGCCAAACCCTCAATAGGGTGCCGCACAACCAACACAAGATGAGGATCACACAAGCCACGAGCAATCCACTAGAGTACCTTTTGGCGCTCCGCTGGGGAAAGGTCAAGAACCCCTCACAATCACCACGATCGGAGCCGGAGACAATCACCACCCTCCGCTCGACGATCCTCGCTGCTCCAAGCCGTCTAGGTGGCGGCAACCACCAAGAGTAACAAACGAATCCCGCAGCGAAACACGAACACCAAGTGCCTCTAGATGCAAACACTCAAGCAATGCACTTGGATTCTCTCCTAATCTCACAAAGATGTTTAATCTATGATGGAAATGAGTGGGAGAGCTTTGGCTAAACTCACAAGGTTGCTATGTCAATGTAAATGGCCAAGAGAGTGAGCTTGAGCCGGCCATGGGGCTTAAATAGAAGCCCCCCGAAATAGAGCCATTGTACCCCTTCACTGGGCACTGATCGGGGTGACCGGACGCTCTGGTCCTACTGACCGAACGCTGCTCCTCAGCGTCCGGTCGCCCGATGGCGGCCACGTGTCTCCTGCGTTCAATAGTGAACGTTTGATCTCAACGGTCGACAAGCTGACCGGACGCTCCGACAGAACTGACCGGACGCTGAACCCTCAGCGTCCGGTCGTTTACAGTAAGGGTCCAAAACCAGTTTTTGCCAACCGGACACAGCCCAGCGTCCGGTGCTTAACCCTAACCACTATGCCGACTGACCACTGCGTCCGGTAGCAGAGCGACCCAGCGTCCGGTCAGTTGACCGACGCCAGCATCATTTCGACCAACTCTATTTCACTTCTAACTTCTTCACCCTTGCTCAAATGTGCCAACCACCAAGTGTATCACCTTATGCACATGTGTTAGCATATTTTCACAAACATTTTCAAGGGTGTTA